AAGTCGCCTAGTACGAAGGAGCACTTACGAGTATTTACTTTGAATTTTTCAAGTATAAGCATTTGCTTACTTTTATTCATACGGACCATTGTATTGTGGAGAAAATGACCCCTCACTTTTTTCGATTTGTCGTCGAACACCCTGTACGTACGTATTAGGAGTTGGTATAGGGTGATCCTAAAATTGGACTCCACAGTCCACTTGTCACTTTTTTTATCATTTTTATTTATATTTGTGACGCGTTAGGATTGAGTTTACCAAAAAAATGAGTAGAAATAGTCGTGTGTGGTATCAAAATATTCGTCATGAAATACTCTTTTTTAAAAAGCTAATGAGTCATACTGTTTGCACTTGAAACCGGGTGTCAAATTCTTGACAAAACAGCTTCCTAGTTTCAAACTTTGAATGCGTAAACGCTGTTCTGTCAAGAATTTGGTATCTGGTTTCAAATCAATATTTATCACCACTAGGGGGTTGAAATTATTATGCATTCCCTTTGGTAGGAGTGCAGGGTGGGAGGATGTATGACACGATAAGTTCAAAACATTTTCACATACGAGGCTTAATTATAGAGATAATGTATAAAATTTCGTTAAATTACATAGAAATTTCAGAAAACTTCAAAATCTAAGCAACCCTGAAGCTCTAAGTATCTTTGTTAATAAAAATTTCACCAAAAAGTAGCTATACCTATCAAAGTTGTGTAACATTTGATGTTCTACAAATTCTGATAACATTTTTTTTCTAAAGTGAAGCTTTAAAAAGATATGACTGCATAACTAAGAAACCAATCAAATTTTGGAGGTTTTGACAGTGATACAGAGATAGCACAGGGGGTGGGTGGTCGAAAACTTGTATTCTTAGTTACCAGATGAACTTCTATGCCATGGAAAAATTGGAACTACTTCTCATTTTCTATTCCCTGGACTACTTTTCGCAGTGAAAATTTAACTGCAAGTATGTACTAACGGATAGATTTTGTATGCAAGTCAAAAAAGTATTTTCCAGTGAGTTAGTTGCAGACACGGAATTGCGGAGCAGGAACAGACGGATTCTTTCGTACGATTGCAAAAGATTCGCTCCAGACTCGGTCAAATATTTTATTACTATTGGAACATTGCAATAAGAAGTTAGTTGATAGTTTAAAAAGTTAAGGAAAGGGTGAAAATACTTTTTTGTACGTCACTGCTTTGAAAATGAATTTATTTAAAAAATTGTTTCGCGAGGGATGGGTCGTCTTCCGAGGGATTTTACCTAATACGATTAGTCATAGTGGCTAATACATATAGTACGTTTAATTGGCCTGGCCCACTACATCTGGTGTGTGCATCTAGTTATTTACTACAGTATGAACTGGGATGAAAGATGACTTTACATTGTATTAGGAGAAAGGCAGGTCTCTTTAATTTATAAATCTGCATTTCCTATGTGTCAGAAAAACTGAGCACTTGCAAATAAATACCGACAAATTAGATCCATTTTGCGATCAAATTGGTAAGAAAAATCTTCTCTTGTATACGGAAATTGTTTGAACCTTTTAACCACGTAGCCCATTAGGTATGTATAAAACGTACCTAATTAAAAAATCTAAAATATTTGCAAATTAATTCAACGTAATTTTAGTTGATTAGTATAAATACGAGATTATTTTGAAATAGTATCTTTTGATTTCACCTAAACGGTCGCATCTGGTGATGACGTGGCGCGTTATCTCTGCACATGTGGCAGGTAACGCTACATTTTCGAATTCTAATTTAACATTCGGATAGTTTTAGAATGAAAATATTTACACTACGATTTATTTAATTTGTTCATATGAGAATTAATAACCTGTTTTTCGATTTCCAATTGATCCCATGTGACGAAAACCCACTTTGGAACATCTTAACCATAAGCAACTAGTTATCTTTTGATTATTAATGAACCTAAACCACCGAAAAAAAACCGAAACCTTTGCAAACAAATTTCTATATTGCTATATTGCTATTAGCTACAGGAGGGTATGGTTTTTTTATGATGGGTACATTTAGTTACGTATTCTTTTACCGCCCGAATTAAATAATGTAAAAACTCACCCTTTAAACAATATTAATTCAGTCTCTCCAAGGGAAGAATCACTACGAAACACCATTGGAAAAACACGAACTACAACCGTCGACGTTTCTCGCGTTAATACAATCGAGATTCGGGATCGTGACGTAGACGGATAGGTATAGGTAACAAATGAGACAGAAAACAAGTGCCTTATCGGAATACTTTGCTAAGAGGTTATTTTTGCACATTTCCAATCGTCAAAGGTGGAATTTATTCACAAATTTAAAAAAACACTTAAAGTTTTGGGTACAGTTTAATCAAAGCATGCAACGCTATCCAATTTTGATTAGTTTTGAAAATTAAATTTGAAGGCAATTATTTCAATTAAGTTAACGGATGGCACAAGTTTGTTGTTTCAAATTCTTATAGAGCACATTTGGGGCATTGGCATTCTTTTCGTCTTTTAACTTTAGTGAAAATCAGCCATTTTTTGCGTTGGGGCATGACGGAATTGCTATTTTTGATGTAGGTTGCTTGGAATGGTATCCAATTAGAGCTGGACTGTTTGGCGCGCTTCTAGTTTTTTTAATGGTTCCCAGAATAGTTTCGGATTTTAGATTGAAGTTGCTGGTCTGCTTTTCGAAAATTTTTGGGGCTGCTTGGATTTCCGACTGCAAGAGCTTTTTAAACGTTGCGCTTTTTCCCAACACTACAGGGTTTTCTGTTTACACATTTGGTCGTAAAGGGTTTATTTTGGATTTGAATGTTATGTGTATTATATTTGTAATGTACCGAGGTTTTTACCACCCTCACGTTGGTAAGGGAGGTATTGTATTGGGGTAAAAAATGACACCCCACTTTTTTAACGTACACGTTTTGAAGCATCAGGAATCCGAATCAAATCAAATCTCAATTATGTCGATCGGTTTGTGTGACTGTACTCTCATTTCCGGCTAAACGGATGAACCGATTGGAACCAAATTTGGTACACATAAGTATTCTTAAGACATAATGGAAAGGGATGAAAACCGTTTCAACAGAACGCGCATGCATAGGTGTGCGGGTGGTATCTGTGCTAACCATGGCAATTTTGCCATATCGGATATCTTAACCAGGGTGATGCTACAAAACAAAAAAAATTGCTGTGGCCAGTACAGATACCACCCGCACAATTTTTACAAATGTATTTCAATTCTTAGTGAAGTTTGTTAATTTGACACACTTGCGCGATTCTGCCTCTTCCTTTTATGTCTAAGAAGCTGCGTACCAAATTTGATTCCAATCGGTTCGGCCGTTTAGCCAGAAACGAGAGTACAGACAGAGAGACCGAGAAACCGACCGACATCATCGAGATTTTGTTTAATTCGGATTCCTGGTGCTTCAATACCTGGATTTCCGTCAAAAAAATAGGGCGTGATTTTTTACCCCAATACAATACCTCTCTTTACCAACGTGCGGATGGTAAAAAGAAATGTAAATAAAGGCTCCGAAAATCGATTTACGCAAATAACCAATTTCAAATTATTTTCATTTTGAAAATTTCGTCGAGATCAGAATTACTTTTCTCTCCACGGTTACAAATACACATTTTGAAAATTTTTTACAAAGTCGGAATTGAGCATAGAACTTCTGAAAGTGTAATTCTAAAACAGAACACATTGAGGCCTCTAGTTGACAGAAGGTGGATACAATTACTCTAATGTGCTTAAGGTCTCTCTGCAAAACTCAATCAAGCATAATCCGCCACTGTACCTACTTTTCCACTATCAGAAAAATTTATTTCCCGATCGATGTGAGAAAAGTCGTTTTTCGGTAAATTTTATAGGCAAGATTATACGGTGTCCTATTACGAATGCCAGCTATATAAGTGTCGAGAAATTGCTTATGTTAATTGGATGTTCTACAATTTCTGATAACAATATTTTTTTCTAAAGTGAACCTTTAAACAGATATGATTGCAAAACTATATAAGAAACCAACAAAATTTCTAAGGCTTTGAGGGTGACACGGGGTCAGTACAGGGGGTAGGTGGTCGAAAACTTGGATTCTTAATTACCAGATGAACTTTTATGGAACGCAAAAATTTTCGTACGATTACAAAAGGTTCTCTCCAGACATGCGTACGTGGAGAGATGTACGGTCAGAAATTCTATTTTTATTGGAACATTGCAGTGAAAAATTAGTTGATAGTTTAAAAAGTTAAGGAAAGGGTGAAAATACTTTTTTGTACGTCACTGCTTTTAAAAAAGAATTTATTGCGATAAAAGATGTGTTTACGCTGTATTAAGGGAGAGCGGCAGGTATTTTTAATTTATAAACCCGCATGTGTCAGAAAAACTGAGCACTTGCAAACAAATACCGACAAATTAGATCGATTTTGCGATCAATTGGCGAGAAAATGTTCTCTTTGTTTTAACCTTTAACCACGTAGAGCGCATTATGTATAAAAGTGAGAACGTAATTCAAAAATTTGAAATTTTTCCAAAGCAATTAACGTAATCTAAGTTGATTAATATAAACACGCGATTATTTTGAAATCGTTTCTTTTCTTTACACATCAACGGCCGCATCTGGTGATGACGTGGCGCGTTATCTCTGCACATGTGGCAAGGTAACGCTACAATTTCGAATTCTAATCAATATTGGGATAGTTTTAGAATGGAAATTTTTACACATTCGACTTATTTAGTTTGTTCATATGAGAAATAATTACCTTTTTGGATTTCTACGTTAACCCATGTCACGAAAACCCATTTTGGAACATCTTAACCATGAGTTACTAGTTACCTTTTCACTATTATGAACCTAAACCACCAACACTATAAAGAAACCAAACCTTTTTTTTGCAAATTTTTGTTTCGTGGTAGTGATTCCTAATAGGTACAAGAGGGTATGGTTTTTTTATGATGGGTACATTTAACTACGTATCCTTTTACCGCCCCAATTAAATAATGAAAAACACTCACCCTTTAAACAGTATTAATTCAGTCTCTCCATGGGAAAAATCACTACCAAACACCATTGGAAAAACACGAACCACAACCGTCGTCGTTTCTCGCGTTACTATAATCGAGATTCGGGATCGTGACGTAGACGGATAGGTATAGGTAACAAATGAGACAGAAAACAAGTGCCTTATCGGAATACTTACCTAAGACGTTATTTTCGCGCGCGCGCTCTCTCCAATTTCCAATCGTCACAGGTGGAATTTATTCATGAATTTAGAAAACAGGCAGCGTTTTGGGTACAGTTTAATCAAAATACGCAACGCTATCCAATTTTGATTAGTTTGAAAATTGAATTTGAAGGCAATTATTTCAATTAAGTTAATGGATGGCCCAAGTTTGCTGTTTTAAATTCTTAAAGAGGATATTTGGGGCATTGACATTCTTTTCGTCTTTTAACTTTAGTGAAAATGAGCCATTTTTTCCGTTGGGGCATGACGGAATTGCTATTTTTGATGTAGGTTGCTTGAAATGGTATCCAATTAGGACTGGACTGTTTGGCGCGCTTCTAGTTTTTTTAATGGTTCACAGAATAGTTTCGGATTTAAGATTGAAGTTGCTGGTCTACTTTTCGGAAACCTCCGTTATAGACATGATCAACTGTTTTAAAATTTGAATTCTCCCCCTCCCTTAAAATCTTTTTTCTACAATCGATATCCAAAGTAGGCATTTGCGCTCGTATTTGACAACGCAAACGTCATCTTTTTCGAGGAATGTCACTTTGTCGCTTATAAGCGACAAAATAGAAAAAACGCTCGCTCTCCCAATTATTAACTATAAAACAAATATGCATTGCTCAGAGTACCTATCCAATGACAACAAGTAAATGACATCTTTCATTTGGGCATAAGATTAATATGATTTGAGTGAAAAATTTAAATTTCTGGAAATATGTAAACTGCTCGATTGTAGAAAAAATCTTGTGTGTAATTCGAGCGCAAATTGATTGTCGATTTCAAGAGATTGCCGCGCTCCTTCGTCGCGCGTCAACTGTCTCTTTCAATCGACAATATATCATTTTGCGCTCTTAATACACAAATAGCTATTAGCGGCTACTGTAAAATTCGAAACTATGTAATACATTTTGATTTTTTTCTGTAACCTATGCTATCGATTTGTTCTAAAGTACACATTAATATGATTAGGCTCTTTAACCATTTCAAAAAAAATGTTTTGCCATTATTAGAACCCGAGGATAGTATTATTTAATCTTACTATTTGAACTGGTTCAATGGATGCAACGAATTCCGTAAAATTGAGAAATTGGAAAACTCCTGTCCTCCCTCCCCCAAATTCATACTCTTCTAGTTATGTATTTATCTTACAAAAAAAAGGGCCAGCAAGTGTTCATTATTGGAAAACGTGATTGCTCTTGCCAGACTTGGAATGTAACTACCAAGCTACCCTTCCTCGGAATACCTTCATTAGATCCCCGATTGTACAAAAGGAAAAAATGGCAACAATTTCAAAAGTGTGATTCGGAATACGTTAAAAGTTTTCCCTATTAAGACACTGAAATTGGAATAGCCTATACACTTTGCTTCTGCGAGCATCTTTTTTTGTACGTACATTTCTTTAGAAAAATGGTTGGTGGCTTTATCGTTTTAGTTTAAATGTAAATAAAGGCTCCGAAAATCCAGTTACGCAAATATCCAATTTCAAATTATTTTCATTTTGAAAAACAGTTAAATACAAAATTGAACTTTTTTTTAGTGGAAACCCTTTATTTTTATTAACACAAAAAATAAGGGTAGCTTTATACAAAGTAGTCTATTCCAAAAAAATGTTTACCATAAATGATAACCCAATTTAAATTGTCGTTGTATGTATAGTTTAATCATCCCAGCCTGATTATTACTTGTGATTAACAAACGGTGACAAAAAGTGCTAGATTGTTTCTTTTGCGCCCCCAAAACAACTAACAAAAATGTTTACAACGTACTTTACAATACAAAAAATAATTAAATCTCCAATATTTGGAAAACTGAAAATTTCCAAAAAACTTAGTTTTAACGATTTTGAATGTAAGGATTTTAAACCTTGTGTATTTATTTTCATCTTCCATTAGTCGTATGGTAGGAGAGAAAGAGTTGCAATGAAAATGTAATCTGTCTTTAAAATATTTTCAAATGAAGCCGCAACCAACAAAAATTGGTTAATTTCGGTTTTTCCAGTTTCTAATTAGAGTTAAATTCGGGTCCAAATTGCGCAACTTGAAATAAAATGACATGATGAAAGAATTTGTAGAGATTGTCGGCGTGAAGAAAGGGCGAAGGTGAAGCGAAGAAAGTGTAAAGTGAACATTTGCTTACAATCGCAAGAGATACCCTTTAACCTAAAAAGTTCCCCAACATGATAAAATCCATAATAAATTAGCGTATCGTCGGAAATTACTTAGTTTCCAGCAGGTTCAATATGATCAAAACATACGTGTTAGTGTTGTTGCTAAAAACGTCTTTACAATGTACAGTGCCTACCTTCGAAAAGAACCGAATATACGTAAATGGTCACCATGGTGTCGATACTCAAATAATAAGTGGTTGCATTTCACCTGACACCATTCGATTTAAAGGCATTACCGAAATAACTGTAGACAAACAAAATATTCCAGATTTAAATTACGGTGCAGTTCAAGGAATTTCAACAAAATTTCGTATCTCATTTGTCAACACTAGCATCGAAATTATAAGAGAGGGGGCTTTTTTGAATCTTCCCAAACTTGAGCGAATATATTTCAGGGACAACGATCTCTTCTGGATCGGTGAAAATGCATTTCAAGATTTGCCGTCGTTAACTGCAGTGATCATGAACTTTAATAAGATCACAGAACTGTCGCCACGTGCTTTCAGTAATCTCCCACACTTAACTGAAGTGTCTTTTCACAAAAATAACTTGGAAAATTTTGATCAGTCCTGGTTTTATAAAACGCCACTTCTTCGATTCTTAACAGTGTCGCACAATCGCTTACGTAAAATTACACGAGGCGCCTTTATCACCCTGCCAGCTATTGAGAAGATATATTTTGGTAACAATGAAATAGAGTTCGTCGACAAAGATGCCTTTAAAGGATTAAGACATTTGGAAAGTTTGAATTTGGGTCAGAACAAATTGAAAAAATTTGACTTTAATTTCTACACCCCTTCAAAGTTGAGAGATGTTTATTTTCAATATAATAACATAACGTACATATCTGATGAAATGCTGGACGTATTAGGACCCACATTATTATCACTTTACATAAGCGGTAATCCTTTGCAATGCGCATGCCTGGATAAAATAATACAATGGAGTGACGCCCTTGAAATAAGTGTTCCGCAGTTGAAATCGCCACAGTCCGGCGCCGGCGCCGTTTGTACACTGCCAAAGACAAAACCAAGCCAGTGTCTTGAAAGAAGAGATTATGATTTCCAAGAGGGATTCTCGGTTGGTTTTACACCGCTTAAACCTATACCATCCTATATTTTTACTGATCACCATCACTAACCCCCATAGCATTGTTATTTGTGAGATTGAAAATGTGCATTTATACAATATGTATTATATAATAAAAGTTACTCAAAGATCTCTCTCTCTCTACCACAACCAGTTGCTTTGTTTTTTATTCCTTCTGATACTCATGCAGGGAAAACTGATAGTTCAGGATTTTTAGCTGCCATTCACAGAAATTTGAATTATCGACTGCATATTTTAGATAAATAATAATAAATAATGCTTCGTAAAAAGGTCGATTCTCACTTGCACTGCACTCAGCTCGGCGACGCGACGCGATGTCACGCTGCAAAACGTCGCTAAATAAGAATTTCACGTTTTTAAATCCGTGGGGTCGTAAGCTGTACTGTACCTTAAGTAGGAACATTTAAAAACATGAAATTCTTACCGTATCCAGGACCTTCAGATACCTTCTGGACTGGAGGAGGTCCGGCTAATTAACAATGTAAGAGACTTCGGAATGTTATTTTTTACAAATTGGAAAGAAGTGGAGTCGCTTGGAAATCTATTTGAGCTAACCGACTTATCAAATGTACTAAATTAGCATCAGATTTACTACTTCTTGGGATTGTTGATTTTTGTATATTGTAAATGTGATGTAAAATGTGTTTTCCACAGTTATCTCACTTGCTCCAGATTTCCCTGTATAAGCTATACGTAGGTACCTTCTGTAAAAGTGTGAAAACTAACATATAGGAGTGCCTGCTTTTTATTTTGATTAGGATAATAGATATTTTTTAGTACTTTATCTATTAATTTCTAAGTGTATTGCCAATAAAAAGTTTCCTATGGAATAGTGATATTCTTTTGGAGATCAATGTAGAATGAAGTAAGGCAACGCATACCTTTGTGCTTTTCACACCAACATTTCTTAAGGAAAATCTTTAAACTTACTTAATTTTCTACTGTATTCTCATATACATACATGGCAATCCTCGACGAAGAGGGTTGTAACTTTTGGGGTGCGCCAAATATTTTTGTTTCCTAGATCGATTATGTTTAAGTGATGTATAAGCAACCCTAAAACTACCCTCTAAAAATAAATTTCATTCTCGCTTTAAACTTACTTAATTTTCTACTGTATTCACATATACATACATGGCAATTCTCGACTGCGAGGGTTGTAACTTTTTGGGTGCGCCAAATATTGTTATTTCTTTGATCGATTACGTTTAAGTGATCTATAAGCAACCCTAAAACTACCCTCTAAAAATAAATTTCATTCTCGCTTTAAACTTACTTAATTTTCTACTGTATTCTCATATACATACATGGCAATTCTCGACTGCGAGGGTTGTAACTTTTGGGGTGCGCCAAATATTTTTATTTCTTTGATCGAATATGTTTAAATGATCTTAACTTATATTAACTTAACTAATTCGCATTTAGTTAGATGAGAAAAAAATCTTCTTTCCAGTGGTGCCATTATGAACCCTCTAAGTTAATTTGGGGAGCAACAAGCTGCGAAAAACTGTTTTCCTATGTTAATTCCCTATGTTCGGTTTGAAAGTATTCACCCGATATATGAAACTTGTTTAACATTTTATTTCCCATAATAAGGCAGCATTGTTTTTATTTAAAAAAACGAATGAATAACGAAAAACAATTGAATTTTTTTTAATAGCAATGCACACTTTCATTAAGTTCATTTTATACTAGATTTTTTTTCTCTTTTGAATGACGTAACACGTTAGCACCCGTGTAGAAGAAATTCATTTTTATATCAAGCTTTTTGTGATAGGTTATGCCACCGCTTGCAGTTAATAATGAACATTTTGAGTATTCACTGCAATGAAAATCATTTTATTGCTAATTTCGTTTTGTCTTCCAAGTTTAATAAGAAACGTATCTGGATTAATGTAATTGATCTAATTATGATAAATTTTTTTTTTTAATTGAAAGGAAAAAAATTGAAAACTAATACGGTTGATTGACGTAAAAAATTTTTAACTACAAAAAAACTTAATACATTTTTGCTCTAAAATAATTTGGGGAGCCAATAAATCGCAATTTTACATTGAAATCCCTATGATGCGTTACGCAAGTCACCACCCTGTATTAAGGTAGGTATATAATAGCACCTAAGGTAAGTATATGTAGTTGTAAAGCAACATGAAGAAGGAAAAAGAAAGGAATTTCGCAGGGTATCGTAAATTCGATGCAGCATCATTTATCGAGATCCGCTACTTGTGGCTTTAGTTATGAAAATGTAGATTTTACAACACTCAAATATAATAGGTACCCACTTCTGATACGATCGGAGCGATGAACAGAGAATGATCGTCCTGTTGTGAGAATGTTGCCACCGTGCAGCCAGTAAATTAAGTAACCAAATTAATAATCTTCTGTCAACTAAAATGTACTTAGTCAAAATTTAACTTGGGCAATAATATTTTTTCAACAAAATGCGTTAGGATCATTTCAGTTCGAGGAATTTCGAGTTCTCGAATAGATTAATGTTTTAAACACAAAAAGAAATCTATTGCGGGTCCGTTCGTGTATATATATACGTAGAGGAACAAAAAAAAGTTCACAAAAAATGTCAACCTGTGCCAGGTAACAGCATCTCACGATTCCACTCTGAGACCCGGTGACTTATGATGATTGTTTTCGAAAACAATTGTATACTAAACTTATTTTACTGAGAAAACAATACCTTTAAAGCTACAACCGTGTATCTTATATGTAGAAATAAACTAATTGCCGAGATTATAAAACAAGAACCGGGATTGTTATACCAACTAACCGAAACCCCCTTAACCGGGTTACATTTAAATTTATCTCCGTTACGACTTGTTTGTTTACGTGTAGTCAGATAAGTCTTTTTTTAACGCGTTTACAAAATTTTCCGATTCGACCACTCCTTACCGGATCTTAATTGATTCGAAATGATTAATGAGCGACTCTTCGGTATCATCCATCAACATTTTCGAGTTGGAGAATTTAAAGCGACGAGTATCGTCAATTAGGAATGACGAACCTCAAGGTAAAAGTACAACTCATTAAATTAAATCGATTTGATGGAAGCACCTGTACGGTATTGTTGCAGGAGGGCGCTTTCAAAATAAATGTTAATTTTAGTAACCGTGCGGTACGTAAACTAATGAAGGAACCCATGGGGTGCGCCTACAGTAGTTCTGTTCTCGGTTGGTCTTGTATAATTAATAAAAATGATTGTTGTGTAAGTATAATCCCGTCCCGCAGAAAATCAATTAAACGATTAAATGGATATTAACATTTAAAGTGGCCATCGGACTTGGATTAAAAGTAAATCTTTGAAAATTGAGCGAGATCGTGGAAGGGTTTCCCCAATAAAGAATATTGCTCCTCATCAGCGGGTGGTGGCATTGTATATAATTATGGACGCGGGAGATATCATGTCACGATTGTGCTAAGTATAGTGTTTGATGCACCAATAACCAGACTAGTGGACCATATTTCATCTTACCGCCGATGAAGTGGTGACCGTCTCCTTCTTACCGCACTGGACCACTGCCATACCGATTGGTACTTTATTAAGTATACGTGTAGTTCATGGATGAAGAATTTAATATTGACCATTAAAGGGATGCGCATTGTCTATTATGCAACATCTAGTACTTGCACCAAATATAATCTGGGCTATAAAAGGTACCATTTTTTTTGCCCAACGTGTGAAACATATAATTTGCTTACACCCTCGGTTAATTGTTTGAGCGAGTAATTAACCGGTAATAATTTATTTTCACTGGTTACTCGTGGTAACCACCTCCCACTTTGGAATTATTAATCAAAATTGAAATTGGTTACATGCGCTTTCGAATATATCATATTAATAGCTTTTTCTTTACGATAGACATAATAAATAAGTGAGTACGAGTGTGGTTTTGTTGCTTTGAGCGTTATATAAATCTTTAGAAAAAGTGCGACGCTCTAAAACAAGATGTACAATACTTTAACATTTAAGATATGGTTTATAATAAAAGTGATTATCGGTTGGTATGTGTACACACATTACAGAATCGTGATCAACGCTACCCACCGTGTAATGAGGAGGCCCCCGAACCCCTATTATTATATCTCGTATCCTTTGGAATTAAGTTTAGAGCGAGCCTTTTTATTATTAAAAAAATTAACGAATGGTCTTGCATAAAAAAAAATCGAATCTCTATCTGTCACAATCGAAGAATTGAAGAATCGATGGTTGCTTTTCCATGAGTGGTACTTTTGCACCTGTTGACCGCCGAAATAGAGCATTCATTAAAAGTGAGGTATCCACTCCCAACCTCTGCAATTTTAATGGTATGTGCAAAGCCCATAAAATAGAAATGCAGGAATACAAACCATGATGCGTTAGTCACACTGTTGCTATTCTATCATACAGGGTGCCCATTATGTATGGAAAGTATATATGTAAATATCGAATGTATACCAAAATTTTCTATATGAAAGTTGTTTGGCATTTTAATTCCCATAATAAAAGGCAACATTCAGTTGTTTTTATTTCAGAAAACAAATGAATAACGAAAAACAATTGAATTTTTTTAAATGGTAGTGCACCTTTTCATTAGGCTTATTTGTTAGAGATTTATTCTCTTCTCGATGATATAACATGTTAGTACCCTCATTCAAAAATATTTATTATAATTAGATCAATAACATTATTCCAGATATACTACATCAAAATAAAACAAATGAACGTGTACGTTTCTTAGTAAGCCTTGAAGACAAAACGAAATTAGCAGTAAAATGATTTTCATCGCAATCAGAGCTGGGCAGTATTCGATTTTGTAAATACTTTTTAGTATTGAAATCCTTTAAAGTATTCAAATACTTTGTAATTAAATACTTTTATGGAAGCGGTACTTGTTTTTGTAACTCAAATACTTTCACAAATATTTAATATTCGAATATGTACTTCGTAAAATACTTGGATACTTCGTAAAGTATTCGAATACTTTGCATAGTATTTGACTACTTAACCTTCCTATTTTTACCAAAAATCGACTACTCCAAAATTTCTCGGGAAAACACTTTTTCTTATTAATTTTGGTGCGTAGAATCCAAAACAATTCGTACTTTTTCGA